AACATATATACTTACATACATGCATGCATACATACATACATACATACATCCATGCATACAGGCCTCCCTCCCTCCCTACCTACCTACCTACCTACCTACCTACCTACCTACCTACCTACCTACCTACCAAGCTACCTACATACACATGTACTCATGTGCAGGAGCAAGCATACACATACACGGCTGTGACCTCGTTTTAACACAAGCTACTCCTTTGTCAATGGTATAGTCAATGCACGAGGATACATTCACGCGGATATGTATTTGCATTTGCAAGCATGTTGTGGCAAGTGTGCGAACTTGCAGTCCCTGTGCACCGTCAGGTTCTTCTGCACATGAATGTCCATGCATGAATGCCAGTGCACGCTTGTGTGCAGGCAGGCATGCCTGGATGGGGAAGTAGCTGCTGAGATGCATTTTGCTTTTGCCGGCGAATATGTATGAATACGAGCAACATATATTTGCGCAAATATGGCTGCAAGCCTTTCAGAAGGCCGAGTTGCTACTTCAGAAAGCTCCGCTCTAAGCCAAGGGTCTTCAAGTGCTCTTGGACAGAAGAACTGTCTCCACCAGCATATTCATCACCTGAGTTCTGTACTCACACACTGAGCTGGTTTGGGAACTCTTTGAAGAGTAAATGCTTTCAGTCCTCCTCAGAGATGTAAGTGCCTTAAGATATACGGTTGTGGTTGCGGTCGAGACTACCTTTGGCAAGCACAGAAAAAACGGACAGGTCGCACAAGAGGCTTCTTGGATTGCTACTTGCAGGGTTAGTAAGTAGCTCCTTATAGGAGTTATAAGTACCACAACCCTCAATTAGGACCCTGATCAAGTTATTCGTAAGTCTACTTAGTACCTACTTACTAAGTCCCCCGACCCCCTGGAAGTAAGCATATGGGTAGTTGTCTAAATTAGGGTCCCTTTAGGGGTCGTTTTTATAAGGGTGCCGTACTATTGAGGGGACCTAAAAGGGGACCCTAATTTAGAAAACTACCCATATCCTTTCCAAACAACAGGAGCTCTGAAACAATGTCAGGAGGATCGCCTTTCTAGTGCCTCTATGGCTAGCTCTCGAAGTAGGGCTCCCTTTTAGTTTAGGGTATATACGGGTGCCGTACTATTTTCTGGGGACCTGCAACGTTAGAGCCCTAAACCCTATACCCTAAACCCCTAACCCCTAAACCCTAAACTTTAAACCCTAAACCCTATACCCTAAACCCCTAACCCAAAACCCCCTATAGACCCTAAACCTTAGACCCTAAACCCTATACCCTAAGCCCCTAACCCAAAACCCCTATAGACCCTAAACCTTAAACCCTGAAGACTTCCCTTCTGGAGGCTCCTGTGCCATATAATACCCGTACAAGACCCTTAGATCTAAGGCAGAACCCATGGGCCCCTAGTATGGGCCCTTAACCCTGGGACCCTAGTATACCTACTATATACCCGATATATACCCTTAAGGGACCCTAGAATCCCCTCAGGGCCCATGTTAGGGGCCCATGGGTTCAACCTTAGATTAGAGCAACTTAACCCTTAATGCGGCTGGTGATATAAATCCTGCATCACCCATAAGAAGGGATATACCATCATTATACGGAGTATACCATAATTCTCATAGTTTAGGGTCCTTGAGGTAATGCGGGATTGATATCATCAACAGTATAGAGCCCTCCTCTAATCATTATGTACAATTCAGCACGCTGAAGCTGCCCGAACCAAGTTACCCCAGGTTACCACAGATCCATCGCCCAGGATGGCTGCGAAGCTGCAGCCCGTAGCTTGGATCTGCTGCACATTCCTTAGTGGTCCAGTTCTCATGCGAGGAGAAACGTACACTTCCAGTTACTAGTTGGGCCGGGATTCCAACCCTAAACCCCAAACCCTAAACCCAGAACCCTAAACCGTAACTAAACCCTAACCCTTACACCCAAAACCCTAAACCCCATACCCTGAGTTCTTCAAACCCTGAACCCTAAACCCCAAACCCTAAACCCAGAACCAAACCCTAAACCCTAAACCCTAAACCCTAAACCCTAAGTTCCTCAATGCTCAGCATCTAAGAGTCTGTAGTCGATCGTGCACTGCCCGACTATCCCCGCCAAAGCGGCCCTGAGTTCTTGTTTAGGGTTTAGGGTTTAGGGTTTAGGGTTTAGGGTTGCACTCTCCGAGTTTGGGATTTAGGGTTTTAGGGTTTAGGGGTTTAGGGTTCAGGGTTCAGGGGTTAGGGGGTTTAGGGTTTAGGGGTTTAGGGGTCAGGGGGTTTAGGGGTTAGGGCTTAAGGTTTAGGGTTTAGGGATTATTAGGGGTTTAGAGGTTAGGGGTTTAGGGTTTAGGGATTTAGGGTTTAGGGGTTTAGGGGTTTAGGGTTTAGGGTTTAGGGGTTAGGGGTTTAGGTTAGGTTTCAGGGACACCCATATTCATGTAGGGTTTAGGGTTTAGGGGTTTAGGGGTTAGGATTCAGGGACACCCATATTAACTCAGGGTTGAGGGTTTAGGATTTAGGGTTTAAGGGTTTAGGGACGCCCATGCTGTATGCTTCTCCAACAAGCTAAGCCCGTACTAAAGGCGTCTTAATGGTGAGAAGCAGGCTCTGGGAGCGCTTATAGAGTACAACATTACAACAAGATCCCTAAGGAATAATAGTTGATTAATCAGGCTTCTGTATTATTATTAACTGTATAGTGTGTATATATATATATATACTAATAATGATAATAAGGAACCCTAACAATAATATTGGTAACTATTAATTGTTAAGGCTTCGGTATTCGCCCCAAATGCAAACTGCAGCTCCTTGCCAGACAGATCACCCTGTTGGAATGGTTTTTCAGGATTCAGATCCTCAAGTTAAAGGAAGCTACAGGTGGGGAGTTTAGGGTATATAGGGCTTCTATAAGGCATATAGACCTGCTGTAAGGCTCCTATATCGGCAACTACCCACCTGAAAATGTCCTAGATGTAGATCCTCAAACTTGGCTGACTTCTACACCCCTCCTAAAAGTTAAACTTTTAGCCTCCTTAGTATTATTGTGGTTCATATACAAACCCAACAAGTTAAAGTCCTAAGAGCCAACCCGAAGAACGCCAAGCAAATGGACGCAAAGTCGCCTCCCCCCAAGTCGCCACAGAGCCGTCGCGAAGGATTGCCGCTGCTGCAGTGTATGAAAAACACACCTGACCCCGATCCCTTCAAGGGCAAACCCTAAACCCTAAACCCTAAGCCCTAAACCCCCAAACCCTAAACCCTAAACCTAGCCCTGGTACTTCAGAGCCTCCGCAAACCAAAGCCCGAACTAAACCCTTATCCAGAGGCTCCACATATAGTACCATTATGGAGTTAGGTCCCAAAAGACCATCCTCATTCAGGTTTTCGGGACCTAATTCCATGATGGTACTATATATGGAGCCTCTGGGCTACTCTCACTAAACCGCTGATAGACCCCTATGCTACATCTACCCCTCAAGGGCACAGCATGATGTTTTCAACAACTATCCGAAAGCCTACACCTTTCAATCCTAAACTGGGTTCTTGTTAAGGGATGTAATTTAAGTTACCATAATAAGGAAACCATATTATTTACTATAGATCCCTATTATGGTAGCTTAAATTAAATCCCTTAACAAGAACCCAGTCAACCCTCAGAGACCTCAGGGTCCAAGTACTTAATAATCACCCACAGCGCCACTATCCTAAAGCCATGTACCCTTAACCCTGGTCCTACGTAGACCCCCCAACTACCCTCTATTGTACCCCAAATACCCACTATTAGGGACCATAAGGGCTCCATTAAAAGG